TGAGGGAAACAGCAAAGCTTCAGGTCAAATAACAGTGCCAGTGGACAACGCTATTCGCCCTATTCTAGTGGGAATCGTAGATTTCCAACCAATCAGCGTGCAAACGGGGATTTTTTGTCCAGAGGCCATTATCCAAAAACAAAAATGAAGAGAGCTGCGAAGCAGAATTAAAACTCTCAAATACAAACACTAATTTGAAACAGGTATGTAAAAATACAGTGTTTACAGCTGGCCGGTTGGCCAGCTATTTGCAAAATTGGCGTGAAATTACAACTGACCAAACAATTTTACAGTATGTTGCTGGGGTAAAAATAGATTTTACGGAAGGCAGAACGCCTTTTCAGTCAGTATTTAGACCTAGTGTATTCAATCGCAATGAACACAAGGTTGTAGAAAAAGAAATTCACAAACTGCTCCAAAAAGGGGTGATCAGAGTATCCTCCCATGAGCCTGGTGAATATATTTCCACTATTTTCCTTAGACCTAAGAGTGATGGCTCACATTGTGTAATACTTAATCTGAAGCAATTTAATGAATTTGTGGAGTACCACCATTTCAAAATGGACACCTTAGATGCGGTGCTTAAAATGATGAGGCCTGGCTGTTTCATGGCTTCTGTCGACCTACGGGATGCTTACTATACAGTCCCAGTGCATGCTGAACACCAAAAGTTTCTCAAATTCATGTTTGATGGAACTCTGTATCAGTATACCTGCCTACCGAATGGGCTTGCTTGTGCTCCACGCATTTTTACCAAACTTTTGAAGCCAGTGTATGCTACATTACATGAACAAGGATACCCAAATTTGGGCTATATTGATGACTCATACCTGCAGGGTGACAACCCTCCAGATTGCACCAACAATGTTAATGCAACGGTGTCCTTGTTCAGCAAGTTGGGCTTTTGTTTGCATGATGACAAATCTGCGTTTGAACCAACTCAACAGTTAGTTTTTCTGGGGTTTCAGTTAAACTCTTGTACAATGACTGTTTCTCCCACACTCAAAAAGATTGCCAAAACAGTACATGCAGGTACTAAATTAAAAAACAAACAATCACTACTGATTTCAGACGTGGCCGAAGTAATTGGCATTCTGGTTTCCAACTTCCCTGGAGTGGAATATGGGCCTATGCATTATCGGGCTCTTGAGAGGGACAAAACTTTAGCCCTTAAACACAACAAGGGAGATTACAATTCAACCATGCAACTCTCACCTAACTCTTTTAAAGAACTTGATTGGTGGATTCAAAACATGTCTCATAGTAAAAGAGACATAGTTCACCCTAATCCAAGTATTATTTTACAGTCTGATGCTTCAAAGCAAGGGTGGGGGGCAGTGTGCATGGATGAGACCGTTGGGGGCAGATGGACATCTTGTGAGGCTACAGCTCACATAAATATACTAGAATTGCTGGCTGCATTTTTTGCTCTTAAGTCATTTGTTAGAAAAGAGAGCAATATTCATGTTCAGCTTCAAATTGACAATACCACTGCAGTGTCATATGTGAATAATATGGGGGGAACTCAGTCTCCTGAGTTAAATACATTGGCTCTTGAAGTATGGGAATGGGCCATTAAACGAGCAATTTGGTTGTCTGCTGTTCACATACCTGGTAAAGAGAACACTAGGGCAGACAAGGAGTCGCGCAACATCTCATACAGACATGAGTGGACTCTTGATAAGGAGGTGTTTGATACTATAGCCAAATCACACCCTCATTTAGATATTGACCTTTTTGCAACCAGGCTGAACAATCAGCTAGACATTTATTGCTCCTGGAAACCAGATCCAGGTTCCCAATATGTAGATGCTTTCTCTCTTGACTGGAGCAAGTTTACATTTTATGCCTTCCCACCTTTTAGCCTAGTGCCATGGTGTGTACAAAAGATTTCACAAGACAAAGCCAAGGGAATTCTAGTTGTCCCATTTTGGCCAACTCAGCCATGGTTCCCTTTAGCCCTGCAGTTGTTGTACGACAGTCCGCGAGTACTTCCACCAAGTCCCAAGCTGCTTCAACATCCTCAGCGGGATCAGCTACATCCACTACACAAAACATTGCATCTGATGGTGTGTCCGCTCTCAGGAATACCATCAGAAAATTTGGCCTTTCTGCAGACGCAACAGAACTTGTCATGGCATCGTGGAGACACGGCACCCAGAAGCAATGCAAGACATACATTGAACAGTGGCTGGACTTTTGTGGTAAAGGGAGTATCAATTACTGTCAACCAAATATAAGTGATGTCATTCATTTTCTCATGCAATTGTACAAGAAAGGTTTAAGTTATTCTACAATAAACACTGCAAGGTCAGCACTTAGTGCTATTGTAGAATTAGACAATGGCACTAGCATTGGGACACACCCTTTAGTTTCCAGGTTCATCAAAGGTGTCTATCAATCGCGAACACCAACACCTAAATACAGCCACATATGGGATGTTTCTAAGGTCCTGGATTATTTGGGCACACTCTATCCTAATAACAAAATTACACTTAAAAACTTGACATTAAAATTGGTAATGTTATTATTGCTGGTAACTGGTAAACGAGGACAGGATATCCACTTGCTTAGCTTACAGGGCATGAAAATGGAGGAAACATCTTGTGAATTTAAGATATTATGTCACACTAAAACAAGCAGACCGGGCAATGACACTAACAGGATTTTAATAGCTCAGTACAAGGATGACAAAAAGATCTGTCCCCTAGACGTTTTGGGGGAATATTTGGACAGAACCAAGGCAATGCGAAAGGACGAACAAAGTCTGTTCATTAGTTACATAAAGCCGCACCATAAAGTGTCTAGAGATACCATATCCAGATGGGCAAAGAGTGTGCTTGAAAGTTCTGGGATTGATACAGCAATGTTCACAGCGCACAGTACAAGAGCTGCTGCTGCATCGAAAGCTAAACAAACAGCAGTCCCACTCGATGTTATTCTGAAAACTGTTGGCTGGAAGTCAGAGAATACATTCCGAAGATTTTATGATAAACCTATCACAGACACAGGTGATATGGGTGCAGCTTTGCTGTCATCCAAAGTTTCCTAACTGTATAAAGTTGATTAAATTGTTGTTTGTCCCCAACTTTGGTGGGGTTTCCTGTATATTCTATTGCACACTTTAGTCAAATATATTGATATTATGTTACAGTGTACATCGGGTTTTCATACATGTGGTTGTGCTAGGCTTTAAAGTCTCATGGGATCTCCATGCCTCCCTATCATGTGATAGAATTGAAAAATTAAACGAGACTTACCTGGAAGTTGAAGTTTGATTGAGATTCTATCACATGATTATGGGAGGCAGGAGATCACATGCCCGGCCCTTCTATCCCTCCCAATACAAAAGTGTTGTGGGCATCTGGTTGGCATATAGGTTATTGCCATACCTCGACCATATTGTTACACTGGCACACCCACAAGCTGCCAAGAATGATTGACGCATTCGCTGTGCTATCTCATGTGATCTCCTGCCTCCCATAATCATGTGATAGAATCTCAATCAAACTTCAACTTCCAGGTAAGTCTCGTTTAATTTTTCAATTAGATTGGAAGGCACAGCAGAGTTCTGATGTGGAGCATGATATGGAGGATACCAGTTCAGCTTCGCATAATACTGTAGCAGGTGCGAAAAGATGTTTATTCACACAATCACAACGTACTCCAGCTGTGAAAAAGGTCATTTTTACTACTGCCCCTTCATTTGCCTTGCATAGTAGAGCCAAAACGCCAATGGTGAAAGTGGAAGAGAGGAAAGTCAAATGTCATGAAGAAGTGCTAAGTATAGCCAATCACAGTTCTAAGAAAAGAAATCCAACACTTGTGTGCTATTTAATTCACAACACGATGCCTTATGCTGTCCTCTCACTTATATGCTTTACTCGCAATAAAGGGACTGTCGCTGATTATTTCAATTCAAAGTTGTGCCAACAAGTATTTGGGTCATTCTCTTTATCATTCCTTGAAAGTGTCTACTGTCATAAGGCAGAAATCATGAGCTATTACCGTTAATTGGGAATGTACCCAAACATTGGAAGGCAAGTGGACTATCGTTTGACATGCAATAAAACCAGTGGAGGATGTGAATGTGTGCCTTTGGATGTCTTTTTTCACCTGTTTTGCAGAAAGAAGTGTGATTTATCTTAATTTGATTGCAAATGCAAGAATTGGGTTAGCCCGGCAACACACATTTGTTACGACTTTTTTTTCTGTGATATATGTGCAAAATACTACAAGGACTTGTCGCAGTACAAGACATATCCGCTGCGCAGAGCATAAAAAGTATATTTTGAAAATATGGACATGTTTTTTACAACATTTTACAAATTACAACATTTTGAGAATAACCAATAATGAAAAATATAATTGGTTAATTACCGAGAAATATATAAATTACTTAAATGATTATTCACAATGGATCTTATAGGGAACATCGCTGACGCATATTTCGTGAAATTGTTAACTGTTTATGTGTGAGACATAGCTTGTGCAACCAACCCAATGACACCAACGCAGAAAATGAGATGTTGCATGAAATTTGATTGACAAATTTGATTGACAAACTTCAATCAAACTTCGTGTAACATCAGTTTTTCTTTGTTTGACGTCATTATGAAAAAAGTTCTATAGCATCTATAAACCATCATACGTGGGGTAAAGGAAATAAGTACTTGTGTGGCGATTCTTAGAACTGACCAAGGACAAGAGTATTCTCTTCATTTTTGTCCGGGAAAAATGTTCTGCCATCTTTAAAAGTAATGCTCGTAAAAGCAAGTTTTTGGACGAGTCATCCCTAATTTGTCGCAAGTGAAGTTGTCTTCCTGGCATAACAACTCCTGTGCCAAATAGCTTTACGGTTTCTTCATGAAGCCCAATGACAATTACTCTGTCGCCTAGTTGGGATGCAATGAATACTATAATGTGATTGGCAAACAATAAAACATACTACAACTTTTTTATTATTACATGAAATAAAAAAGAGCTTTAACTTACCAGCTTTAGGACTGTAATTTAGGTTTGGCATGGTCAGTTTCAGCTGCTGGCGGTGGAGCTGCCGCTGTTGTTGTTGTTCCCGTTGTTGTTGCTGCCCCTGTTGTTGTTGTTCCCAATGTTGTTCCTGTTGTTGTTGCTGCCGCTGTTGTTCCTGTTGCTGTTGCAGCCGCTGTTGTTCTTGTTGTTTGTTGTTCCCGTTGTTGTTGCTGCCGCAGTTGTTCCTGTTGTTGTTGCTGCCGCTGTTGTTCCTGTTGTTGTTGCAGCTGCTGTTGTTCCTGTTGTTGCTGCCACCGTTGTTGCTGCCGCTGTTGTTCCTTTTGTTGTTCCTGCTGCTGTTGTTCCTCTTCAGATAGCTTTTTCTTCTTCCCTAAATGTAAAAGACGAAAAACAGAAACTCCATTTAAGAAAATGCAAATTTTATTGACCACTGACGTCTTTTTCGTCACAATGTACAGCCAATTTTCACAAGTTAATCATAGTCTTAAATATCCTCCAAGTGAGTCACAAATGCCATTGTCAAAACCCTAGGGGTAGTAGGGCTTTTGGCACACTGCTAACACCCGTCTCCCACTAAAAATGTTGAAGCATGATGATTTTGTAATTTCTTAGATGATGACATAATAAGAATACTACTGCAGCAAATTCCACAACGACGGTGGATTCTTCTTAAAATCGCACCCTTAGATAGTTATTAATATTAAGGTGTTTTGTGAAAGTATAAATCGCTTTTTTGTCTTTTGAATTCCCCACATCACCCCACACAATGCGACATTGTTTGGGGGCGAAAAAGGAGAGTTGAGGTATAAAATCGATCAGAACTTGGAAGCTCATTCGTCAATAGTCAGTACAATCTCTTGCAACTGAGCTACTAGCTAGGTCAAAATTCCCGCAGGTTTGATTTCCACCATGTTCAAGGTAATTTTTCAGGTTTCCTGGTTGGTGAGTCAGAGTAGCACTATCACATATTCATGCTATCATATATATCTAAAATGCCATGATGCAACTGCAGCTCATGTTGGGAGCCTTGTACCATTTCTGTTCTAATGTGTTCTAAGTGAAAAATGTTAACATTACTTTATACCTGTCATATATCTCTCAAAACGATCAACAATAGCCTGTCCCTCTGCCGATCAGTCAGAACAACTGGTCCCAATAAAATCTTGTCCCAATCCTTCCGTACCATAGAAACAAACTGTGTATCCCAAGGCATGTTTACGATGCGTCAGGATAACAGTGTCACAATTATGATGAATCTTTAAAACATCTGCCTGAGAATGGAAAGTAACAAAATAAATGTTACTAGATATTACCTTTAGCAGTCAGTATGAAAATAACTCTCATTTAAGGATAAATCCTTAAATCCTGAAAGCAAAAAATATCATTTTTGCAAAATTTTACATAAAAACAATTTTAAGCCTGGAGAAGCATAGCACTCAACTAACATGTGATTCCATCTTCTTTCGTTGATCCGTTATATTTGTTTCTCCTTTGTCTCTAATTTTTTTCATGTCTTTAACTTTTCTTGGAAAAAGAACACCACATTCATCACCAGCACATTTTCTTCTGGCCACAGGCTGCCTTAATCCACATTCTAGGCATGTCTATAGAAATTACCAGGGGGTTTTTAAACATCACATTTTAAAATATGGCTAATTTTCTCTACCGCAGCGTCTTTGTCAGCAACTTTTCTTGGTGGCCACAGTACAAAGAGACTGACATTGTTACCTTGTTGCTATAGTCTATTCCTATATATATTACGGCTAGGATCGCTTCATACTTTTTGCCTATTCGTGCAAACAAATTCGCCTAGTGGAAAACGGGTCTAATACCATGATCACAAACAACCATTCGTAAGTACATCGCCGACAGACAGTTATCGGCAAGTTAAAAAACCAGGATTTTGGTCTAGTTGCTGCAATTTATTGGCGATTTTTTACTCTATAATTTTCTATCAGGCCAAATACACACGAAGCATTTCATACACCAATCGCTTTGGGCACTGTTTGACCACCTAACTTGTCTTGCCTTGTCTACCTAACTCGCCTAAGTCATCATTTTTAGTATGGCATGTGAGCATAAATATATTAATATACACCCCCCCCCAAATTGCCCTCACTCATGTTTATTCCACGGTGCATGAAAATATCGCTCAGTTTAACACAACTTGCAATGCAAAGCAGAAATAGTATAACAACCATGATGGTGACCATAAAATTTTTATTGAACAATCATTATCTCTACATGTTTACAAATTGAGGTCATGTTAATTTAGGTTTATAGAAGTCTTATCCTTAGAAGATACACTACTTATTATAGACCTTACCAATTATTTTCCATCACCCAACGCCCTTGCTTACATTAGGGACAAATATAGATTATATTCACATACATGTTTTCCTAAACAATATACCAGTTATGCCTGATCTTTGGCTTGATAACAAAATAATGTTAACCCTATTAAGCACAAAACATCAACAAGCAGTTCCTACATAAACACAAGGCTATTGGGTGAAAAGTAAGTAAACAGTAAGGTTCAATTGGGTACCTTTAAAACACGTCCTTTCCTTTGTGATGAGTCTGGGAAAAATATGAGATATCATTTTAATGAGATATCATTTTAATGAGATATCATTATTTGCTATGTGTATACAGTCCACATATTTTATTGTACAGGTATGTTGTATATTCTAATGATTTGAAGGGTCTTAATTTCGAGTGGAATTTACACATTTCAAATTCAAGCCTGGGACAGTTGATGGAAATATGAGTCAACTATCGGTCCTTCGGCAGGAATCGAACTTACGCTTTTGCGATGCCGGTGCAATGCTCTTACCACTGAGCTACAGAGGTAGCTGCCAAGAACAAGCGTGGTAAAGGTGTATATGATGTGTATATGGTAATATAAACATTTTGTGGTACTAAAATTGCACATACCTAGGTGCACAAATTTGAATACCTACTCAGCAAAATATGATCCTCATGAAAAAAGCTTATTGGTGTACAGGAATGCACATAATTTGTTTTATTTGTACACATGTAATAACCTATGTTTTAGACGTTCCTTATAACAAATATAAAAACTCAAATGTGTTAACTACATGACTGTAGCTACTAGAAGTTTAATGGGAGAACGCAGTCAGGCATAAGAATATTGCCCCCTCCAATAAGACTTCTAGCTAGGAGCTGGTAGCTCGGTTACAGCCATTTTTATGTAGGTGATGTAAAATGCAAGCCAGCTAGAGCAAATGATGTCTCTTATCAGCTCTATTTCTCATGGAGAACATGCCTCCAAACCTCGTGGTCTTATAAAAGTCACACCTATGCCATTCTTGTTTCACCCTCCAAAAATCAAGACCTTCGCTATGCCACTGAAGACAAAGACATGCTGCCAGAAGGAACATGGCTTTGGCTATTGAGCCTCATTTTCATGTTACAAACTTTCTCATGGACTTTCCCTACTGTTGTTTATGACCTCTATGTGATCACAGTGCTTTCAGAAAATATACAAGGCTTTGATAAGATAACTTTACCTCCTACTGTACAACACAAAACCCTAAGCGGAAATTTTATTAAGCTAAATATATATATATATATATATATATATATATATATATATATTATATATTATATATATTATATATATATATTATATATATTATATATTATATATTTATATTATATATAATATATATAATATAATATATATATTATATATATATATATATATATAATATATATATATTATATATAATATATATATATATATATATATATATTATATATAACCAACAAGTATTCCCACACTGCTCGATAGCAAAGACATATAGGAAACAATTGTAACTACCACGGCCAGAAGTAAAACTAAAAGATTTTATTAAAAATATACTAAGCTTAAATTTTCGGCCACATGCCGCAGCCTTCTTCAGAAATTCTGCGGCATGTGGCCGAAAATTTAAGCTTAGTATATTTTTAATAAAATCTTTTAGTTTTACTTCTGGCCGTGGTAGTTACAATTGTTTCCTATATATTATATATATATATATATAATATATATATATATTATATATATATATATAATATATATATATAATATACAAACAACGAACCTATTTACAGAGATAGCCGATCAAACCACCCTCCTTCCACCATTAAACAACTACTGAAATCGATAAACAAACGCTTATCGTGCTTATCATCCGATGAAACAAGTTTCAAATCCGCCGCGCGATTTTATGAGAATGCACTCAACCGCAGTAACCACAACGTCAAATTGCATTACACAACCAACCCCGCCAGACCCAAAACTCCAACCAACAGTAACAACCGAAAACGGAAAGTCATTTGGTTCAATCCTCCCTTTAGCAAAAATGTACAGTCAAACGTTGCCCGTGATTTCCTGAAATTGATCAACAAACATTTCCCTCAAACATCGCGGCTCCACAAAATCTTTAATCGAAATACAGTAAAGGTCAGCTACTCCTGCATGAACAACATCAAAAATGCTATCTCAAGCCACAACCATCATGTGTTAGAAAAACGAGACGATGAGCGCAAAGAGAATCACTGTAACTGTTGTAGAAAAGATGAGTGCCCGCTAGCTGGAAAATGTCTGACCAAGAGCCTCATTTACAAAGCCAAAATAACATCAACGGACAGCAGGAGACTTCAAGAAACGTTTTGCCATACATAAGAAGTCTCTGAACAATATCCAATACTCGACGGAAAGAGAGCTTTCGAAGTATGCATGGAAATTGAAACAAAGCGAAAGAGAATTCACAATGAAGTGATTCCTTCTAAAGCATGTCCCTACATTTAGACCTAGTGGGAGAAGCTGCAACCTTTGCCTTGAAGAAAAGCTGTTTATTTTGAAAGCAGACAAAGACAGAGTGCTGAATAAGCGCTCAGAGTTATTTTCTAAGTGTAGACACCGCTTTAAATACAGTGCACGTGCTAGTATGCTATCCTTACGCATCAGAAAAACAGTTAAATGTATCCATTCGCCTGATGATCGCCTTGAGCGTGAAACACTGTGTAGAGATGACAATATTCTTAGATTAAACATTTATTTATATATATATATATATATATATATATATATATATATATATATTTATTTAAAAATTTGCAATCCAGGCATATTTGTTTGTCAATGAATGTTCTCCGGATTTAAAATTGTTTTTTATTGAGCTTTCGACTCGGTACTTCCAGTCTTCTTTAGAATATCTAAATTATTTACATGTGTATAGCTTTATATATTTAAGTTTCGCGCTGTTCTTTAAGACTCTGTATACGTTGAGAGCGTCTGATTGGTTGTTTTGAAGTTGATCTGATATGAGTGGTAGTTGAGGGATGCATTGTCATGGTTGACTGCATTTCTTTGTCAGGGATGGTCGCTGTGGAATGATTAGATTGTTGTGTATCAGATGCGGGTGGATTTAAGTTATTATTAGTTACATTAATGTGATTATTGATAGAGTCCTTACGTTTTGTCTTATGTTGCAGATAGACTGCAGGAATATCAATATGTCTGTTAATAGTATTGTCGTCTGTACTAAACCAAGCTTCTTTGAATTCATGTGCGTGTTTTGTTCGTGCTTGTCCCAGTAGTTCAGTTTTTGTCTAGGCGAAGGTATGAGAGTTATCGTATGTGTGTACTGCGGGTAGGGATTTAAGGTCGTGTCGTTTTATACCATTCTTGTGTTCAGTTATTCGGGTTTCAATTTTCTTCAAGGTTTGACCTATGTATCATTGTGGACAGTCTTTGCAAGGAATCAAGTAGATGGCATTTCTTGTTTCGGTGGTTGTCGTTTTGTCTTTGTGTTTTGTAAAACATGATCTAAGCTTGTGTGCTGGTTTATGTGCTACGTCAATATTAAAAGGACGAAGTAGTCTGGCAGTCATTTCAGATGTGCTCTGAATGTATGGTAAGGTAACTGTTTTATTTGATACTTCAGGTTCTCTTTGTGATTAATTAATTTCATTAGTTTGTTTGTTACTCAGTTTCGTTAGTACTTTGTTAATGAAATTTGTCGGGTAGTTATTCTTTTCGAAAGTTAAGTACAAGTATTTGCGTTCCGCTTGTTTCGCTTCTTCTGTGTTACAGTGTGTGTCTATTCGGTTAAATAACGTCCTAATGCAGCTTATTTTGTGCTGAGTTGGGTGGTTACTGTTAAAATTTAAGATTTGATCAGTGTGTGTTTTCTTGCGGTAAACCCGTGTGTTTATTGTTCCGTCATTATTTCGTGTTAATAAAACGTCAAGAAAAGCAAGTTGGTTGTTATGTTCTTCTTTGGTAAATTTTATGTTTTCAATCGTTTGATTGATTTCGTATAAAATATCGTCAGTCTTGTCTTTCTTTACCGTCGCGAAGACATCGTCAACGTATCTGTTCCATGATTTGATGTTTTCGTTATTGGTGACCGATTTCTTCTCTAGATCCTGCATGACTGCTTCAGCAAGGAAGCTAGAGAGAGGAGATCCCATAGGTGTGCCTGAAATTTGTCTGTAGTAGGAGTTTTGAAAAGAGAATTCCGTAGAAAGGCAAAGATTAAGAAGGTCAAGAATGTCGTTTTTGTCTAAATTAGTTCTGCTTTTCCATGTGTCATTGTTATTAAGTAGTTCACTTGTGATTCGTTTGGCTGTGTCTAGTGGTATGGATGTGAAAAGAGAAACTACATCAAATGATATCATGATTTCGTCAGGTTCAAGGTTGAGGTCCTTAATATTATTTAGAAAGGCATTAGTGTTGTTAACCGTATGAGGTGATACTTTAACAAGAGGATGAAGAACCATAGCGAGATATTTGGATAACTCAACTCGTATGTTGGGGAGCCTGGAAGAGACACGATAGGTCTTAGAGGGATGTTCTTTTTGTGTATTTTAGGTAGTCCATAAAACTTAGCGGTGGAGGCATTGTTTGGTCGGATTCTGCTATAGTTCCGTTCATCAAGCTTGCCTTTGTCTTTAAGTTGTTTTAATTTCTGGTTAATACGATTAACCATCGTTTTGTTTGGGTCAGTGTCAAGTGGTTGATATGTTGCCGTGTCTTTTAGTAAAGTGTTTGCTTTATCAATATAATCGGATTTGTTCTTAACTACAGTCATTCGTCCTTTGTCAGCTGGTAGTATAATGATTTCTTTGTCATCTTGTAAGTCTTAATAACAACCAACTTGCTTTTCTTGACGTTTTATTAACACGAACTAATGACGGAACAATAAACACACAGGTTTACCGCAAGAAAACACACACTGATCAAATCTTAAATTTTAACAGTAACCACCCAACTCAGCACAAAATAAGCTGCATTAGGACGTTATTTAACCGAATAGACACACACTGTAACACAGAAGAAGCGAAACAAGCGGAACGCAAATACTTGTACTTAACTTTCGAAAAGAATAACTACCCGACAAATTTCATTAACAAAGTACTAACGAAACTGAGTAACAAACAAACTAATGAAATTAATGAATCACAAAGAGAACCTGAAGTATCAAATAAAACAATTACCTTACCATACATTCAGAGCACATCTGAAATGACTGCCAGACTACTTCGTCCTTTTAATATTGACGTAGCACATAAACCAGCACACAAGTTTAGATCATCTTTTACAAAACACAAAGACAAAACGACAACCACCGAAACAAGAAATGCCATCTACTTGATTCCTTGCAAAGACTGTCCACAACGATACATAGGTCAAACCTTGAAGAAAATTGAAACCCGAATAACTGAACACAAGAATGCTATAAAACGACACGACCTTAAATCCCTACCCGCAGTACACACATACGATAACTCTCACACCTTCGCCTGGAACAAAACTGAACTACTGGGACAAGCACAAACAAAACACGCACATGAATTCAAAGAAGCTTGGTTTAGTACAGATGACAATACTATTAACAGACATATTGATATTCCTGCAGTTTATCTGCAACTTAAGACAAAACGTAAGGACTCTATCAATAATCACATTAATGTAACTAATAATAACTTAAATCCACCCACATCTGATACACAACAATCTAATCATTCCACAGCGACCATCCCTGACAACGAAATGCAGTCAAATATGACAATGCATCCCTCAACTACCACTCATATCAGATCAACTTCAAAACAACCAATCAGACGCTCTCAACGTATACAGAGTCTTAAAGAACAGCGCGAAACTTAAATATATAAAGCTATACACATGTAAATAATTTAGATATTCTGAAGAAGACTCGAAGAACCGAGTCAAAAGCTCAATAAAAAACAATTTTAAATCGGGAGAACATTCATTGACAAACAAATATGCCTGGATTACAAATTTTTAAATATATATATATATATATATATATATATATATATATATATATATATATGTATATATATATATATATATATATATATATATATATATATATATATATATATATAAATGTTTAATCTAAGAATATTGTCATCGCTACACGGTGTTTCACGCTCAAGGCGATCATCAGGCGAATGGATACATTTAACCGTTTTTCTGATGCATAAGGATAGCATACTAGCGCGTGCACTGTATTTAAAGCAGTGTCTACACTTAGAAAATAACTCTGAGCGCTTATTCAGCACTCTGTCTTTGTCTGCTTTCAAAATAAACAGCTTTTCTTCAAGGCAAAGGTTGCAGCTTCTCCCACTAGCTCTAAATGTAGGGACATGCTTTAGAAGGAATCACTTGATTGTGAATTCTCTTTCGCTTTGTTTCAATTTCCATGCATACTTCGAGAGCGTCTTTCCGTCTTCCGTTGATGTTATTTCGGCTTTGTAAATGAGGCTCTTGGTCAGACATTTTCCAGCTAGCGGGCACTCATCTTTTCTATATATGTATATATGTATATATATATATATATATATATATATATATATATATATATATATATATATGTATATATATATATATATGTATATCTATATATATATATAATATATATAGATATATATATGGACTTGGTTGGAATTAAAGCACTAAAAGCAGCACACAAAATGAAATAAGTCTATCCATCCATGTTATTAATAGTGCCTATTCACACAAGATTTTTTATTCTATAAATATAAAACAAGATTTTACGCACCGTATAAGTGCATCTATGACATGTAAATAAAAAATTCAATTCATATGTTTTACGAACCTGAAGGATCAACCTTGCAATCAACTCAAGAATTAAACCTACCCAGTGTATTAAAAAAGTATACCCTTTAGAAACTACCCTAACACAAATGCCCGATTAAGCAAATCATTATGAATTATTCATATACTTTTACTTACCACTCGTCAAATTCATCGCCATGTTGATAACAAACATTAGCATGTGCTGCGCATTTGTTTCAAAATTACTGTATGTTTTGCACATGACTTGAATTTTTGATTATCATGAACATAAATAATAGCAATCTATTTTAAAAATTATGTACATATTGGTGATAAAATTGTTATAATAACAAATATAACAGTTAAAAAACATTTAAACTATATATACCACAATGCTAATCCATATCCATTTATAACAAACGCAGACAAAATCTAACATCTATTAATGTGCAAAATCAAAAAGCTAAAAATTTATACTATAGTAAAATTCGTAGACAGTTTTAAAAAACTTGTGCTGTTATAGAGTTTAATTTGAAATCGTCAATATGTTCGTCCTTCGCACGAAATGGCGTTCTTGAACCTCTCGTACATAAATGCACTGATTTCAGAATTTCAAAGGACAATCTAGTTCTAATCCACGTAATCACAGTTGAGTAATCTTCTCCATTTTTTCTCGATAATTTATCCGCTAGATTCTTCAAGAATTTCTCACATTCAATTCCTACTCCTCCATTCGTTCCAAAAACCAGTGGTGCAAAGGTGCCCATTTCTACGTCCAAGATTCTTTGTTGATATTTTCTCTTCTTCTCGTTTTCTTGTTCCCTAAAGATATCGGATGTGGCTTTGTTTTGATAACATTGGGAGTTTACATGCGTTACACGGACGTCAAAGAATGATGTAACTCTTCTAGCCCAAAACTCGCCGGCTTTGATATCTAGTCGCGCCTCTGGGCTTCCTGTTGGTGGACTGTAAACGAAATTGTTCATTGTCCAATGGAATGAGCTTTGGTTCAGATTCAACGTTATTGCATATTCTGCTAAGCAACGTTGTCAGCAGATCACGGACACCGTCGTGCCTTCGGGCCACAAAACCTCCTTTCTTACAGGATAAAGCGTGATTTACGAAAAATGTAACCCCACATACACATTGACTTGGCAGATCAGACAAAGGCATGTTATACCGCATTCTTAATGAATCCCTGAACTCTTCTTTGTTGAGGGTCAAACCCTGTTCTTCAACTGGTATCGAATTTAACCACGAACTTGCTCCTCTATCCTGCGCTTGCTCAACATGTGTTAGGAGATCAGCTGAAAGAGACTCATCAATACGGTCTCTTTTTTCTTTGGCGTTCTGCCTCTTGATCGACTTCTGTTCGTTCTTGATGACATTTGTGCTTGCTGGCATTGAAGTGCTTTGAAATAAAATTGCCTCCACATGTGGGCGTGTTATTGATGTTGATGCAGCATACTGCTGTGGCGCTTCTTCACTTAATGCGGGTATCCCTAAACCTCCATGTGCAGTAGGTAATGTGATGACTTCATACAGTTCTCCAGACAGAGGCTCCTCTTGCCCAAACAGAGTTGGGAGAAATAACTCGTTAATGACTTCCTCTATGAGGTTCACATAATTCTCAAAGGAGCTGATCGTTCGCATAAAAAATGTAAACTTTGATTTGTAGCCTTTTGTGAAAGCGACATAAGCTGGGTGTGGCTGACTTTTAGCTATATCACACAATACTTCGATTTCTTTCCTCCATTGATTGACTTTTTCGTTGCAATACTCTTCTTTGTAATCTGTTGATCCTATTACTGCACCCAGATGACGCCTTCCTTCTGTTGTTATATTCACAGCGCTTCCAAACACTCGCTCAGCCTCAGACGCCAGTAGTTGTGATTTGACAATCAGCCAACTTTTAGAACCATTGACGTGGTATCCAAACTTCATTCCTTCTTCGCGTAGAGCAAGGTACCACCTATATAGCGATGATATCTTCCCACCTCCAGCTGAATCATCAGCCAACCAAACCTGCTTGACTTCAGGGATAGAAAGTCTCAATGATTGAATGATGGTCGATGTATTGACTGAATACCATGGCATGGCCAAAGGGTCACCTTGTGTGGTGCCTTCTTGAGACAATATTTCTCCCCCTCCACAGATAAAACGCCTGGAAGGAGCTCTATAGGTGTTGATGATATACTGAGAGATTTCTGCACAAGTGATCTGGATGTTATGCATTGCCACGGAACGATTCATTTGGTTGAACGCATTATTTGCGTCAATCAGAAGTATTCCATCTGTTTCATCTTCAGCATAGACCTCACTCATTGCATGTATTGCCGCTTCAGCTCCAGAGCTATGCCCAGCACAAACTTGTAGCGGGCCCGCTGCTTGTTTTAGATCTTCTTTGAAAAGAGCTGACACAGTTTTGCCGATGATTCGTCTTAGTACTTCACCTACACCTATTGGTCTGATTCCAGGATTCTTGTCGAGCGGGATCAATCTGCATGCTGTGAAGGCTTCTAACAGCGAGGGCTGGTACGAAGACTTTAACAGATTTCTCGTCATGAAGGCTATTTCTTCTCTAAGAACTTTCCCCTCAGTCGTAAAGCTTTTTGAGCACAAGATTCTTCTGTATAGTTCGGCATCCATTCCTGAGGGCCCTGCCGAGCCTTTTGTTTTCATTGCTGCATTCTTGATGGTCTGCTCGTCAATGAGGTCATAAATATTTGGCGGAACATAATCCATCGGCCGTACAAAAGACTTCCTTCTTCTACCTCTGCTGCTGTCGGATGCTTCAGTTTAAGCTCTTCAATGACTTCTGGCGAAAGCCAACATAAACCAGATGAGCTCTCATTTTCTAACAATTTTATTGCTGCTGTAATTTTTCCTTGCATGACCAACTTTGCGAACGTTTTTGAGATTTCTCCGACAGTTCTAGCCTTTCTTGCAGATTTGAATTTCTCTTGAATAATTCTCACTTCTTTCATCAGCAGCGATACGTCTCCCTGTCTCCATAACAGTAGTCGGCGGGTGATAGCTGAGCTATGCTCTTTGCTCTTAGACTTTGCGGACGGCTTCTGTAAAATTAACGAAGGAAGTATCATAAAAGCTTTTAAAGCAATCGAGTTTAAGTCAGAACATGAGTTAAATTGTTTTAGCCAGAATGATAATTCGATTATGAAATCCTTGCCAGCTCTACCGGATGGTATATTAAAAATATTTCGTCGAAAGTGTACAATCTCGTCGTATATTTCGTTCACTTCACAGCATAATTTTCTATATGCTATTTTGCCCCATATCTTCTCTTTTATTTGCGAAGGTAACACATTAATCTCAGGCAAATTTGGCAACAAAGGGTAGGATGAACACTTCTCATTGTCTCCTAATTCTTCTGTGCATTGCTGAATAGTTATGGTATGTAAATGTAAATTTAACTCCGGTCTCGGTTGCGTGGTTTCGCCGCTTTCTTCAACAATTTCGTCTTCGCGAGCTACATTTGACTCTCCATTACGACCATTAGATATACAAATCTGGGTCTTTTCAAGCCGCAACGCTCGATCTCGCAAATTCTGTCCTGTTAGACCCAAATTTTCATATCCTCGGTCATCCCAGAATTGCTTCATCAACTGTATGTAGCCCATCTTTCTGCCCGTTGTCTTGTTCACAAGCGACGAATCTTCTACCGATAATAATTTCTGTGCTCTTTCCTTGCACTCTAATAAATCCTTGTTCATTTGTTCTGTCCACTTTGTTCTTTTCTGTCTCCTCGACATTGTCAAATCTTGCTGCTCGACTTATAGCTCAATCGCTCAGGTGTTGTTAAATTATAGACCAAGAAAGTGGATTCAGAAAAGTGGTCAACACAAATATCTTTCAACATAAATTGATGATGAATCGAAATGCTCGAAATGAGTAGCCAGCCAGCCAGCCAACATTGCATTCACAATGACTGTCCAAGAACGTCAACAACCTCCCTGTTGCTGCATCAGCCATGAACATAAATTAGAGTTAACATTTAATGATAATGATAAATTTAACTCGGAGATCGTGTTGGAGAAATTTGGATGGTTCAAGTTTACAAACCAAATTTTGGGCCCCTGGGGAAGGCAGGAAATTCTGTTTTTGAACATTGCCAGGAATGTGGGTCAAAATGGTAGATATTGCAAGAAATTGCAATACATTGTATGCGAATATGACAATATATGCAACAAACCTTGCCTGTTTTGCTGAAATACATCAAGTGAAATCTTCTCCTCTGCATCACAATTGCTTCAATAACATTCAAAGTTTATATATTTGCCAAAAAACCTAACTGTATTCCCCAAGAAACTGGTTCCATAATCCTTTAAACTATAGCAATTTTATCACGCTACAATCGGCTATTATTGTAAGAAATTTTGCAATAAAATTTCAATATACACAATATACTCCCTTCTTCGCCATATTTGTTTTGAAATTTATTATGCTTCCCAGTCTCTTACTATACCATATGTGTACAAAAACTGCAAACATATGCAAATGTAAAGCCAAATAATGCGGTAAAGTGCGCGAAATTTGAAAAAAAACTCTGTTTCATCTGCGGTATTGTCACAAAAATTGGACACTTTATTTGGATTATAGGATAACACATATTACTGGTTCCTTGGAAGTTTATATGGTCATCATCACAATGGTTCTGGTCATGTAAAGATGTCAGATAATCTCAGATTAGTTAATCGTAATAAAATAAAATGGAAATTGACTTTCAGCATGGAGTTTCCTCTTCAATATGCAAAGCAACTGGTCCCTCAGAAAAACGACTTATAATTTTGTGTGGAGATACCTTGAAAATATACAAGCCACCTATATTGATCTTTAAAACTCAACATTCGATGAATGTTGGTTTAGTGTAAAGAAAGATTGCGTTCGTGTAGAAAACCTCCTCTCCAATAATGCAGCAGTGGTTAAACAAGCCTGTAGGAAAGCCAAAGGAAGGAACAAAGAAAAATTAAACAAGTTGTACAAATTAAGCATACAAAGAAGTGAGATAGATACAGTAATGATATTAAAATCCGAGATCGAAGAATGTAAAAATGAAACAGAAGAATGGAAGAAGTACAGTGATATGAAAAGGAAGAATTGTATCAGGCTGTGAATAATGAAGTGAGTAATTTACAAAAAGAAATTGTGGATTTACAGAATGTCAACAAAGAAATGGCC